ATGTTGACTCCAAAAGCAGCGCGCTCATCATGGAGCAATGTGATAGGCGGGACTTGGATGGTAAACCCATCTTTCAAGTGAGCCTTGGTCGAGTCCAGTCCTGTGGATCATGTGCCCATCCTTGGAGGCATGGGGAGTGGGGGAGGTAAGGGGTCAAGACTGGCACCAGTTCAAGCCACCCGAATGGAACAGAATTGCATGGCTGGTGTGGGAAGCGCAGTTGGTTCCACTAAGTGATGCTGGCAGAACGGAACCATGGGCAATTCCATCCTCAGTCTAGGCGCTGAGGTATTGTGCTGCTGAAACAAGCAGTGATGAGTATGGTTATTACCCCAGAAAGATACCTGTAGCACTTGCTGTCAGAGAAAAAAGAAATTCACAAAAGATCCAATTTTGTAAGACCCAACTTTGGTTTGAGGATTAAAAAGGATCCATGAGTCTAGAAAAAAGGAGCCTAATAGTGGTTATTTCTAGGTGGTAAAATGATGGGTGACATCATTCTTTCCTTATACTGTCTTTATCGTCTGAAAAAAAGTTATACACTGAGAATGTGTTTCTATTATAACCAGGAAAACCGTTTCTATTTAAAGAAAAACTTATCTATTGAAGTTTTGACAAGATTTGGTGAGGTCAGAACTAGAAAAGGTGAACAGGAGAGGAGGAGGAGATGGCTTCTGAGAAGCTGACATCCCCTGGACTTGGTGAATTGGATGGCTGTGAGGCTGCAGAGGGAGCCCAGCTGGCCCTTGGTGACTAGGTGGCATGGGGGTCCCCAACACTGCAGGGCTGGCAGACATCTGCTAGAAGGAATTTTGTACTTCTTAAGAGATGTTTAGAACTGACTGGTTGAAAAATCAGACCTAGGAGAATTTATGCTGTTGAAAGAAGGTTCAGTTTGACTTAATAAAAGTTGTGAATTACATTTCAAACGAGGACATTATAACTGCTTGGTAGATATAGTGTATACCTAACTTACTAAGTAGTTGGTAAGCTCCATGAAGGTAGAAACTCATCTTTATGTTGTAGTTCCTCAATACCTAGCATATAAATGTGGTTCATAGAAAGAGTGCTCTAAAACGTTTGTCACTGAATGAACTATTCCATCTAAACTAACAGTAATTCTTCAAAGAAGTCATTGCAGGAGTCTGCTCAGGAAACTCACCAACCTGATTTGGTTTGTAATCATTTGTGAATAGGTGCTTTCCAAGTACTTAAAATAATGCTTTTCTTAATAAGAAGAAAATGTCCTAAAATTCTTTAAAGATCATTACTAATGTTGAGGAAATCCCTTCCAGTTTGTACCACGTAGAAAAAATCAGCTTGCTTCCACATACATATAAGTAGCTCAAGCTGAGGAAAGTCTCTCCCCCCTCCCCCCACCCCCTCCCTCCCCCCCCTCTCTCTCTCTCTCTCTCTCTCTCTCTCTCTCTCTCTCTCTCTCTATATATATATATATATGTATATATTTTTAAAGTAGTCTTTTATGTGTATTTTGGTTTACCTTACAATATTATTCTCCTCCAAAGCATGTTAACCACTCCGGTTCACAGAGTCCAGAAAATAAAATATCTGGACTCTGAAGCTGTATATTAAAGTGTTTTAAGGAGCTTGGGCTCTGGAAACAGCTGGTCTGGCTCTGAATCCCAACATTGCCATTTCCTGGCGTGTCAACTTGGGTAGTTTAAGTAACTCTCTCTTTTCTCATCTGTACAAACATTTTATAAGGTTGTCACGAAGATATAATGAAATGGTCACTATAAGGCACTCAGATTGTCAGTTAGTTAAAAAAAAATCACATTTGTTTACCGCCTGGGTTGGAGTGATTTCCAAAAGTACAAGATTTCCTGTGTCTCATTTATGATGGGATTTCTTTGATTTACCTTGAAATGTAAATACCTTCCCTTTGAATACCGTTCCCACAGCTGAAGTCTGTGTTCCCATCTGTAGGCAAAGCAAAAGACAAAGCTTGGCCTGAGGGTAGATCTCCACAGAAAGGTCCTTTCAGATCCATCAGCCTGTACTTTCGGCTTTTGGTTTATTATAAGCAACTTTAGGAAGACTTGTGTTCAGACCAGGGCTCGTGATGGGGATGACACCAGGAAGGCACCCAGCTGCTGGCCGGCTCCTTGGAAGCAATACACACCTGCTCTGTGGGTACTTGCGAATCACCTGCTGGACGAGTCTCAACTGAGCATCCCCTCATGTTATAGACAGTCAGGGTCCTGTGGTCCTGTGTGGCCTGGGAAGAGACATGGCTGGTCTGCCTGCTGCTCTTGAAACGTGGCAGTGCGTTTCTAGGTGCTACCTCTATTTTTAACTTAAGTCGCACCTGAGCTTCTTAAACTGGTCCTGCAGGTTGTCGATCCCCAAGTTTAATACTGCAGACGAGAGAGAGGAGTTGAAATAAGGTGTGTAGATGAAAACTTAGAGGAGAGCTTGTATGTGTAATTTATTCCTCATACAGTGTCCAAATAGTCAATTTAGTACCAAATGATACTCATAAAATGGTAAAACCTCACCATTCCCCACAAGTTTTTTATTTATTTATCCCTCCCTCCCTCCCTGCCTCCCTCCCTCCCTCCCTGCCTCCCTGCCTCCCTGCCTCCCTCCCTGCCTCTGTCCCTCCCTGCCTCCGTCCTCCCTCTCTCTCTCCCTCCC